TATTATTGTATAATACTGTATAAGTAGTATTGTGTAATGAACTCAAACCATTGTGTATTTTGCGATGGCTCCCTTATTAATTTTATCCCCTGTTTTATGTGCTTTTATAGTTTTTTTATTTGTAATTGTTTTTATGTATTCTTTTTAATTGTTGTACGCCGCCCAGAGTCACTTTGCGTGAGATGGGCAGTTATATAAATACAATAAATGAATAAATGAATAAACAAAATTTAACTTGAATCACTGTGTGTTTAATTCAAATTTTGCTACAAGAGGCTCTGTTCTTAACTATGGGTTGTCTGTAACCTGGGTGTTCTTAACCCCGGGGACTATCTCTAGTTATCTGGTGGTGCAAATATTTAGCAGGAAAAAAAAAATCCAAAATATTTTGGAATAACACTGCTTGATCCTCCACACTAGTATCTTTTTCACTGTGTTGAAGAATGACTCTCCCACATGATGTAAATAGAGTGCTCTTATTTTTGTTTGAGAATCATCGGCAGGATCTTTGGCTTGACACGTTCACAGACTGAAAGCACCAGGGAAATTAAAAGAATGGAGAATTACCACACTCATTACATGAACTTTGTTACTGCAGATCACTGTAATATTTATTGCCATCAGTAATTTTTCATGAGTAAAGTAATATGTTCCTGTAAAATAATGGAAATATTTTAATGGCTTTATATTTTCTGCATCCCACTTTCCAGGCTGATCCCAGTTTGGGTTAGGTGAAAAAAAACAAGTGATAAACTCATGTTTATTGCATCATATTAGAAGATATGTTCATTTGATATCATATGATGAGTGATATATTCAGGGTTTAAAATCGCTAGTCCCCCAAATGCTCCCAACATTCTTACTGATGCATTATTTAATTCTCACCAGTTCCCAAGATTTATCCTGAATAACATAAAGTCTGTTAAACTTCTCCCTGGAGTGCAAAAGTTTAAATGCACCTCCATGCAAAATTGGAAATAAAACAAATTCCTACAAATGCAAAACTAAAGCATCAAAGGGAAAGGTTCAGCTTAGACTTCTTTTAAACGTACCATGTTTTAAGAGGAGTGTGCATGTAATGTGTGCATTTGCACACACAGGCGCACATACCAAGTACAGGTTGACCACTTCAGAAAAAAGTACCCTATACTGTGAATTTTTTTTAAGAACTTTTCTGAAGTGGGTGGACTGATGGAACACGAGAAAGAACTCTTGAGGGAGCACTGCTTTTAAGAGAGAACGTGGCCACCCCAACAGGCTTCAGTGTTCCTCTGCAGTGCAGTATTGTTTCTGTGGCAACAGCAAATACAGAAGAATCAAGAGCCCAGCAAAAAAAGCAGGGGGAACCATCTAACTGCAGGGAGGAAAAAAAACAGTTAAACATGAAATAGCATTTCCATAGCAACTAACCCCATTCAAAAGCATCAAAATTAGTGACTCCATTTCAGAGGGAGAAGACGTAAGTAACTGATTACATGACTCTTCTGCGGTTGTTCAGAAAGATGCTGTTTTACTGATCCTTTGGCTGTGGACAGATACATTTTGAAACTGCTTTTATAATTACACATCCTTGCTCAGGATCAGGGAAAGTTAGATTTCCTTTCCCAGCATGTCCTGTAGCCGTGTTTGGGTTCATTTGGGACCAAAGTTGCCCTCCAGGGTCAGCCAACTTCATTTAGAGAAAAGAATTTTAATTTCTTTTATGCCTGAGATCAATCAGGAGTAACAAATCTATGAATACCGAAATGGTGTTGAATTGTAATTCCTAGTAACCTGGGCCCTGGGAAATGTAGTTCAGTTGAAGGACTGAATCTTATCATTCCTGGTTTACCCATACTGGAAATTAGATAATGGGCTTGACCATGAGGAAGAGATTTCAAGCCCAATTTTCTGGTATGTCAAAGTTTAACAGATCTTGTTGTCTTTCTCTGTCCTGCTCCCCGTTTTTTACCTTTAACGGTTGCTGGTAAATTTCCACAGAGAATATCACAAACTGTAAATGATTCTTTGCCAGATTTATTTTCAAGGTTTTCTCCTTTAGAAGAGAAAAGCAACCTGTGTAATACAAATGTTGTGGAATTCCAGTTGCCATCAGCCCTGATGAGAAAATTCTGTCTCAAAAATCCCTAACTTTGGTTTAGAAAACTACAATTCCCATAGTTCCCTGGGCTGGAAGAATCACTAATAACCACTTTCAGACTGTAGTAGAGAAATGCCCATGGAGGCTTCCAAGGAAGAATTAGGTTATAATGCGTACTCTTCATCCAAATACTATTCAGATGTTTTAGGGCTACACTTCAGAGCCTTTTCAGAACTGAGAGCATATCAATCACAGTAATAAATAAACTTTTATCATCCCCAGAGTGGTCATGCTGGTTAGGAATGATGGCAACTATCATTCAACACATCTGCATGGGACTGTGCAGTAGAGGGCTGCATACATGTGGGGCTGAAAATGCAGCAAAAGCAGTTTTAGGAAGAATGAGCACAGCATTTTCCACCAGAGTTGCAATACAACACAGACCAGGTTGGAAGGCTCCCAACTGGCAAGGGTTGCTTCTAAGAAGAACTTATGCCAGCATGATCCAACAGGAGTAAAAATAGCTATGAGATGAAGGAATTATCAAGGACAGACAAGATGCCATAACAAATTCCGCCCCACCCTGCAGGCCATCATTTATCACTCTAGTGGCTCACCCGGTGTTTGAACTTGTTGGAGCTTTTGTTTTCCTTCTTGTTCAAATCAATGAAATAGTGGGTAACTCTATCCAAGTCGCCAACATCCATTGACCAAGAAATTCGGAAGGAGTCACACGTGATATTGTTGATCTCAATGCTGTGCGGGGTGGACAACAGCTCCATGATCCAACCAGTTTGGCTCCTACGGTTGGGACAATGAAAAGTTTATCCAAAAGGTTAGGTTTGCAGCAACCAAGACTTAAGACAGGGAGAGATCAGAAAAACAACAGTGGCTGGGCCAGGTAGCTTCTGGAGGATAGGAAGGACCAATGCATGCAGTGGTTAAATCTTCTCTCCTTGCCAGCAGATGCCGAAGTTTCACACATATTTGTGTGTGTGAAGAAAATAGAATGCTTCTGGCACCAATGGAGAATTTTTTTCTTTTTCATTCCTGGGGAGACTCTGAAATCAAAAGGGTGGGAAAGGGAAAGTCTACATGTGGTGGTCCTGGTCCAGGTAGGTATGTCTCCTCTAAAGGAAACAAAGCAACCTCTCTCATATTCATACTTTTCTCCTTTCTGTTTTCTTTTGGGGTTATGTGCTTTCAATTGGAAGCCTAGAAGAGTTCGTGGCTAGAGCAGTGTTTCTCAGCCTTGGGAACTTTAAGATGCGTGCACTTCAATTTCCAGAATTCCAGAGCCAGCCATTGAAGTTGAAGTCCACACATCTTAAAGTTCCCAAGGTTGAGAAACGCTGGCCTAGAGAAAAACACAAAATGTTTTTGTTTTTGTTTTAAATTCCCAATGCATATTTGCATTGCAACCTGGTAATAGTGCACAGGTGAAATCACTGTATGAGGCAACCCTTCTCTATGTTGTTCTCCAACATGAGTGTTTTTCCCACTGCAAATTCATAGGGGCTGGTGAAGCTGGAGACTTTCTTTGATTGTCTTTGCAAGATAATTCTGATTCAGTTAAGAACTTAAATTATCCATCACAGAATTCAGTTCCTGTAGGCTAAAGTGATTTGGGGACATGAAAACACAACTGCCTGGACCTCTGTCCTCCCTGAGGTTCAACCGCTGCCTCTGAAGCCACTCAAATCTAACCCATGCCAACCATCAAAAGCCAAGCCACCTTTGCAATGATACCAATCCATAGCCGCTATCTGTTTTCTTTCTATTCATTCTGAGACCCAGGACCACCTGAAAAACAGGTGCCATTATCTCCACACCTTGACAGAGCAGATGCTTTTGCAGGTGTCAAGCTGTGGAAGGGATAATGCTGGAGCAGATGTGTCTGAGGAGGACTCACAACAAACAGAGGCTTGGCAAGAAGAGGAATATTTTCAGTTTGAAGCCTAGACAGGAGAATCAAGAGATGCTTCTCAGCTAAGGATGTATAAGCATGTGGAGTGAGGCAGAGAATCCTATCTGGTTTTCTGTGAAGGCTGAATTAGCTGTTTCTTGTAACATTCTTAAGAGCGACATAGGAACTCTGTTTCTATAACGCAGGTAGCAATTTGATTGCTATCACTGTGCAAAAAAGAAAAGCAATAATATTTAATTAGATGCCACAGCTTTGGTTAAAAACATTTTACTATACAGGTATATTGCACGTATGAAAGGTAAAGTTGGCATGCAGATAACATGCATTCATACAACTAGGTGGAATACATCTTTTCTATGCATATTGTATGAGTGTGAAACTAAATAAGGTGTATAGTTGGACGTTTGTAATGCCTGCCACAGAGGATGTATGGAGGGAGTGAATGTGGTGTGTTTGCACCTTCTATATGTCCAGATCCAGTGTGAAGATCTAATATCCACCAAGGCTCGGTACGATATAAGACATAACCTTATAATATTTTGACTTATAATACTGATGGCTAGAAGATCACTAGTACTAAAGGCTGGTTGTTAGTAACTACTAAAACATAACTGCTAATAACAGTACTTTGAATTTGCTAAACTTAGGTGATGGGCATCTGGGGGGTGTCAAAAAGTCAAGATGGTGGCTATGATATGGACCTCCTCTTTTCTATGTGCTATAGGATCTAAAGTACTATCTGTCTTTAAAAAACAACAGAGATTACTACACATTCCTTTCAGTATAATTAAACTTCTGAGACACCAATGCTTTCTTCCTGACCAAGCTTGTATGCCAGGCTAAGTTGTAATGTGGTTTGTTTGGGCTTCTGTGCAGTGGGAGCAAAGCCATCTCGGTTTGTAAGCCACATGGAAAACCACTTCTATACTGCTGCCAAAAAGTAACGTGAGCATGTCCACAAAGTCACCAAGAGTGCAGCTGGACTGCAGGGGGATCTTACTGCAGTTACAAAGGATATTTGCCATTTGTTCGGCCTAGGAATTAAATGTGGATATCTGTATCTGTACCTATATGTCTTTTCAAAAAGATATCAACTTGAATGGACTGCTGCACCCCTTGCCTTTCTAAGAGAGGCCACTGATTTACCTGGGAAGGCAGAAAAACACAAAGGGGTCTCTTTCAGAAGTGCAAAACAACACACACTTCCTTTAGGTCTTGTTCAGATATGAGGAAGGTGCCACCCTGGCACTGCCATTCTTGCAAGCTATGACTGATATGAACTGGGAGCAACTTGGCCATCTCTAGTATGTACAATGTAGCAGCTTGGATCAAATGTTGACCGTTGGCGTGAGGATGCTGAAGCACGTACCTAGCTCCCAGTGAAATCGAGAGGCTTGCCAAAGGAATACCTTTCCTATCTCCATTTCCAAATCCCCCAGGTAGGATGGAGTCAGCTTTTCCCAAATGGCAGTTCTCCTGGCTTTCTTCCCAACGCCCAGCCCACGGTCTCTGCGTTGTTCAGCTTTTCATTCTGACGTGCTTCAGATGGAGCATCAGATGGAGGAGGAGCCACTCAGGAGTTGTGGGGTATATTACAATAAGTCCCAGATTCAACTGCTGGTATCTTCAGCAGGGTAGAAGACAGAATCCTAGATAGCTCCTGCCACATAGTATTGACCATGCTGACCTATAATGGACCAGCTTTCACCTAAACTATTTTATCATTTCCTTCAGCTCCTAAGCACATCTAACTTCACAATTAAACAGCTGCTTGAAACCAGGTGGTTCTCCAGGTTGCACACCAGAGATCCTATTCAGTCCTTGCCTTGAGACCATTCTGAGTAAACCCATTTAGTATTGTACTTTGGCCTATACCCACAATTAATTTAAAAACCAGTTGCAGTGCATCATCTGCAGCAGACCCACAGCAACTCAGCCATGGGGCTCCCTACTATTTAACAGGAATAGCCATTTAGGATAACGTATCATCATTTGACTCTGTTTCTATCATCTGAATTAGGAGAAGTTACCCAGGCCCTAGATCTATGTCTGAATGCAATACAGAAAAATGAAAAACCAAAACACTATTAATAGGAAGCCCTGTTGTTGATGCTGCTGCTGCTGCTGCTGTTGACTGGAAGCCCAACAATGAGGAGGGTTGTCAGCTCTAGAAAGTTTCACTCCCTCTAAGAGTACATGGTGGGAAAGGGAAATCTTCTAGATCCATCACAGATAGAAGGGGCCTGCACAGCCAAGAATGATTTCCAAATCTGTCCGGATAACCACTCCAGCTGAGGTTAGACAGGGATAACTTGACAATAGTGATCCGTGCACTAGGAGTGTTCAAGCCAAGCTTGGAACTTGCCACTGGTACAAAATGCCTTAGTTACATTATTAGAAAGAACAGCCTACCAAGAATATATTACAGGAACTACAAAGGCTGCCAGGAGAATGCCAAGCCAAGATCAAAGTGTTTGTCTTGATATTTGAGGCCCAGTAGAGCTTGAGAACGATCCCTGCTTTGTGATTATTTTTTAACAAAAACAAAAAAGAGGTAACAAACGCTTCCAAATAAAAATAAGTAGTATCCTACTCCTGCAATTTAATTACAAACTAAACCAGTTGCCTTCTCAAAGAAGGAAATCGAGTTCTACGTGATTTGTCCTGAAGTAATCTATCCTGGCTGCTTGTAATTATCCAATTGTCTTCTATATGCTTACAAATGGATTGCTTTATGATTTATTTTAATAACTTGCCAAGGGTGGAACTTGATTAGCAACATGTATGAATGTAACTGTGTGTGTGTCCACCCACATTCCCAGCATTGCCAAATGAAATGGAGCCTTAGTAAGGCCGTTTTGGGGGCGGGGGAAGGAGCAAAAGGCTGGTTTTAACCTGGAGATTTGATGCTGTAATATCAACTATTACAACTGCCAACCAAGCAGGAAAATGCAGACAGTATTGCTTCTTACTGCTGCCGTCTGCAACTCTTTCTCACACACATACCCAGATACTGTGGGTTTGTTTGCTTGTTGGTTTTTGTAACAGATGGGGGAGATGGAATAGAGAAGGGGAGACTTAGAACTTGTAATGCAGGGTTCCTCAATCTTGGCGACTTGAAGATGTGTGGACTTCAACTCTCAGAATTCCCCAGCCAGCCATGCTGGC